GAATTGATAATTATAGCAATAAATAGCAACTGTAATTTATTTTCTTTATTTGTGTGAATAGTAGGCTATAATTATTCCTTTAGAATGCTCTTATTATATTTTCTTATAAATTTGGAGTGATTCACAATTAGTGTAAGGAGTCTAAGGCTTCGTTTGAGACAGCTTTCTTACTGCTTTACAAAACAGAGTTTTAGTACAATTTTTTTTTTAAATTGTTTATTTTTTTTTTAAATTGTTCTAAAACTCTATTTTATAAAGCAACACGAAAGCTATCTCAAACGAATCCTAAGAGTTGTGATTTTAGTTAGTCTAATTGCATGCACAAGTTTAGTGAAACTACAAATTTTCCTTTTAATGCATGCACATGTTTGTTGAAACTACAAATTTTTCTTCAGACATGTTGCAGTACAATTATTCATACATCTTCCTTAGCCATGAGCCCATGATTAGTACATTTCTTGCAACAGCTTAGGTTAACTCTAGAAATTTTCCAATAGGTCTTTTTTTGACTTAGCTAAAGGATTTCCTTTGATGGAAATATTCAACATCTAGTAATAAAATTTGGGAAAGAAAAACATTCAGCAAATAGGACATGGAGTTTGATCTCAAATGCAAGAAAGCATACAGCTTCTTTGCAGTATAGGAATCTTGAGGAAGCTTGTGGAGATTTATATATCACTTATCATTTCTTACCTTACAACATGGTATACACCATTTCTCACGCTATTTTTTGTAGTTGAGTTGATATACTCTGCGAGTGCTGAAGATAATATCCCCAATAGATACTAAGGTTTCCTTTGGGACGACTTTCTTACTGCTTCTTAAAGCAGCTTTTTAGTACACAAATTTTAATTTTTGTATTAGAAAGCCGCTTTAAGAAGCAAGAAGAAAGTTGTCCCAAATGAAGCTTGAATCTTCTTTTGTAGTGGAATAATCTTTTTTACCACCCCTTGCAGAGGGAACCGTGAAATATTCTTGAAGTGAAAGTTACATAAAGTAGAGCTGTTTCTTCCTTTCTCAGCAAGCCGTCAATCCAATGTTTAGTTGTTCCTATCTGAAAACCATTGTTATCCGCCTAAATTATTATAATGAGGCATTTTTAAATCGAACCTTAAAAATGGTAATTGGTACCATGTAGACAATTTTCTCACACTTCTGTTTTGGCACTTGAAATTTTCAATAACTGTTTCCCTCCCACTTTGGTAGATGATTTCTGAAACTTGAAAGGCTCAAGTCGAATTAATCTCTTGAACAATATTAACATATGGCTGCATAACAGAGAAAAGAATATTATTGTTGCTTTGTATATTTTTTATGTTCAAAGTTATATTTACCGGCACTTTTTTATTCAATACATTTTTGTTTGGTTGATGAATTCATATTTTGGTTAGTCTTTCTCTTTTAGTGGACTCTTTTATTGTGTTTAACATGTTTCAGTGAAATAGGTGTATCCCCTGGTGAAGGAACTGGTGCAACCATGTCAGATGATGATGATGATCAAGAAGATAGTGAAACAAATTTCTATGATGGAGGTTTGGATGGCCCAGACAGTATGGGTTTTGGGCCCCTTGTACCGACCGAGAGCGAGCGATCCCTAATGGAGCGTGTTAGGCAAGAACTAAAGCATGAATTGAAACAGGTGGGCATCTATGAATTTCATACAATTGCATAAGAAAATATAATGAACTAACTATCATTTTTATTCTTCAGGGTTATAAAGAGAAGATTGTTGACATTAGAGAAGAAATTTTACGTAAGAGAAGAGCTGGAAAACTCCCTGGTGATACCACTTCTACCTTGAAAGCTTGGTGGCAGTCCCACTCCAAGTGGCCTTACCCAACGGTAAGCTCCCATCTCATGATCTTTGATTTAGTGTTCGTTTGAGACAGCTTTCTTAATGCTTTCTAAAACAATATTTTAGTTAAAAAATTTCTTGAATTAGAATTTTTTGTACTAAGAAGATATTTTAGAAAGCAATGAGAAAGCTATCTCAAACGAAAATTTAACTTCAACTTGCTGTCAGTTATT